GAGTAAATATGACTAATGTAATCATGTACTTATACAATTCGTCAGTAAAAGTTATTTATCCTATACTTAGTGTTATAGTAAATAAAATGAGGGAATATAATCGATACCTTAAGTGAGTGGGGATATACATGTACTGAATATATCTCCCGCTGTATCTCCAGGTTTACCTCCGGCTCAGTAGTCCCCTGCAGGAATTTATTTCTGTGCAATTTCTTATATTTTCGTATTTTAGTATATGATAAATCATTTTGGGTACAGGGTATAACCCTCGGGAAATACATAGAGGTTATTTAATGGGAGGTTTTTGATAAAGGGTATATCTGAGGGAAATACAATATATCTACCCGAGGGACCGTAGGGACCGAGGGTTGATATATTGTATTTACCGAGGGATATACCCCGTATCAAAAATCGAGCATTTAATAACTGATTTATCCTATACTTAGTAAATTATGAAGATTAGTAAGTATGGATTGAATGTTATTGAACGCTCGTGTAATAATTACAAATGATAACTACAATCAAAACATGAATATCTTATATCGATGAAAAGTTCTTTACAGTTATTGTTTTTTAAAAACTCCACACTTTTTAACATAAAACGAAATTCCTGGGAATTGCTGAGCGGGTGATATGTATATCTCCCGCTCACCCCAGCGGGAGATATATGGTATTTCCCTCAGATATATTGTGTTTCCATGTATCAAAAACCTCCCATTATAATGCACACCATTTTAAATATGAATCAAAACTATGAATTAGGCTTGTGATATCCATGTTTCTAACGACAGCATCAATTCGAAAGAAACAAACATTCTACTCAAATGTACCAGTTGTGTCCATTTTAGATTTGATTGAAGAACTTGAATTAGAGGCAAAAATTACAATATATTAAAAGAGGCTCTGTTGCTAAGATGGGAAAATTAATTAGCTGCGTTGTTCAGTTTATAACAAAATTGATGTTTAGTGTTACTTTCATGAACACCCATCCTGTAAAATAACATTTGGAATCTAATAGTTTGTACATAGATGAATTAGGCAATGTCAATGAAAAATATCCAACAAGATTGCTAGTTTGCTCATGAAAGGCATACTTTAACTTGAAACTTGAACCCTGTTGAACAAACATATAAATTAACTGTAACTCATAGCTCTAGATGACTTGAACTTATCCATTCATATTCTAGGAACAAGTCAATGAATAATTAAGAAATTGACTATTGACTAAAAGGACTGAGAGCGCTATAAGACTTAAAACTTCATTTGACGATTGATGACCTATGATAGGGAAGGGTCGGGATAACATTTATATAAAATATTTAAAGAGTCTAATAATGATAATGAACATATTACAATGTTACACAACATTAGTAGATGTTAATTAAATGTAAATTATTGTTAGTGCAATTTTCATTTTTCATTTAATGCTGCAACAAGTACACAAGTACCAAAAAGTGCAACGCCCACTTTTCCCTGAGAGCAGCTATGTGTGACTCTATTTGATAAATATTATTAATTTATTGGATCATTTGTTGGATAACACTAGCGCGCTAAGACGTCTTAGCTAAAACGTTTTAGCGTTAAAACGTTTTAGAAATGTAATGTAAATCCAGATTTACTCAAAAGCTCTCGGCTAAGAGCGCTTAGCTAAAACGTTTTAGGGCCCTAGTCATAGCTAAGACGTCTTAGCGTTAAAACGTTTTACAAGCTAGTGTAAATCCATCGGTTTTAGCTAAGAGCTCTTAGCCCGGTTTTTGCGTTGCGCTGAACGAAACATTTGAAACTTTCCATTTGCATATGTCGCATGGTCTTTTATTTTGTCTTATCCCTTGTTCCCAATATTATTCCAAAAGTATGCCTGGCGATTTATCATAATCCTAATTTATGTATAAAATCGTCCTGCTCTCTTTCATGCTTTTAACAATGCTGTCTTTAGGACATATTTTTCTGAAACCGATGCATTCTTTAGTACAAAGTCGGGTACAAAGTAAAGAAGCGGGAAAGGAATAGCTATATTGACAACCAGTACTGAACTGCTTTTTTTCATTTTACATGTATACCTACATATCTCTAAGACGTTTGAGGAAAACAGGTGTAAACTCGATCTTATTTCCTAATACGTCTTGAAAATGGTAATGTAAACTCAACTTAATTTTTCGAAAAAAACGTTTTAGCCAAAACGTCTTGGGATGCTGCGCATAGTGTATATTGGGCTATTATATCAACTTTTCAGTGTTTTAGTGTAAAAACATATTATTACAATTTTTGATAAAGTAGCAGCCATAGAATCCAAACAGATTTGGAAATATTTCACTTTGAGAACAAAGGGACACATTTGGGAGGGGGTCAAATCGAGAATATTTCGAGCTATAAATACTGTTTTTATGGTAACCAAATAACTTAGAGATTGGAAATTTTTGGCACTTACCAACCATAATATGCCCAACCCAATATTAGACAATGAATATCTGACATGCATTTGTATTATTTTTATTGGGTGGTATTCAAGTACCCCTAAGGTTTTCTTGGGGTAGGGGTATAAATTGACCCGATGGCCGTCTGCCACCCCTACATAAACTCCAACTACCCAGAAAGTGTCCACCATAATCATACAGATGGTTTGAAATAGGTTGGAATGTGTAACCTTCCATGTAAGGAAGGTTGCATTTCTAGAGCACTTCTACAGAATGGGTCACAGTCTATTATAAACAAAGATAGTAAAAGATAGTAAACGGCCAAAATGCAATTCGAAAACGTATTTATCAGTTTACCGATGTTAACCCCGATTCCCCAACATTTTTATTCTAAACTTCCGATTGTCTCCTGATTATCCTAATCAATCCCGATTTTCTCCAGATCATTTTTGTTAACCCCGATTTCCTCCCGATTTTCATTGTAAACTCTAATTTTTTCTCAATTATCCTAATCAATCCCGATTTTCTCCCGATTATTTTTGTAAATCCAGATTTTTTCCCGATTTCATAGTAAACTCCCGATTTCTCCCGATAATCCTAAACAATTCCGATTTTCTCCCGATCTTTTTTTATAGAAATACCAATTTTCTCCCGATTTTTCTTAAAAAATCCCGATTTTCACCCAAATTTTTCTTTAAAAATCTCTATTTCTCCCGATTTTTGAAACGAAAATATTCCATTTTTATTTTTTTACTTGACAGGTATGTGATTTCTCAAAAAGTATTTGGATTTGAAGTTTATATTAGTTTTTGAGCTCTTACATCTCGTAACTGATGCAAAAGTAAAATGATAGTCAATGCGTAGAACCTTAAGAGAAATACTCGTATATATCTCGACTTTCAATCGAAACTATTGATTTGGAGTCTCAAAATTTGAGATAACACCGTTTGTGTAATTTAGATGACCTTGACCTTTGACCTTGCAAATTTTACTTTTTTAACCTCAGTTGGTCTTTTGTAATGAACTATACCTTTTGAATCACAAAAAGTAATTTGAAAAATCATTTTTTTAACCAGGGTCAAATCTTAAAAGTAAGGGCAGATTTCTGAGACATTTTAGATGTTTTTTTAAATGGTCCGTTTGAAGTTATTTGCCTAGACGGCAAACTGCTTACACTAAAAGAATACTAATACTTGAATAAATCTGTATGCAAAAATTCAGACAAAATTATTGCTAATGATACCCTATAGTTCCTTAATAAAAATTGTCGAAGAATTCAGCTTATCTATTACTGAGAAAGTACTTGTCAAAAAGCGACTCAATTTTTGGACACCCGGTATAGTCAGTGGTGTCTCGATTTGCATGAAATAAAGCACATTGGAAAGAGAAAAATCATTTAAAAAATAGCTGTGGCACCAGTTAACAACTTAACTTTTTGACAAGTTCTCCGCAATAGATTACTAAAATTCATTGAAAAATTCTGTAAAGTAGCCTATGGGTATCATCAGTTAGTGGTACAAATATAAAAGATATGACAAAAGAAGTGACAAATCAAAAAGTCACGTAAAAAGTAAAAAGTCCAAAATCAGAGCAGCGCAATGAGACCTTCATAGATTTTGTGCCAGCTATCAAGTGATGGCAACTCTAAATCAGTTCTAGTCTCAAAAAGCTTGTCGGCTTGTGTGTAAGCTGGCAGGTCTATTCATTTGTTTCATTGCTGTCTGTATCCAACATCCATTCAGTACAAAGTGTTAGTTCGGAAGAATGAACGATGCTTTTCAATGAAAGTGATACGGCTAAGTGTTTCAAGGTGAAAGGATGAGATGGATGAGTCGTAAAAGAATTAAAGAGCAAGAGTTGGAGTCGTGTAACTGTAAATTTAATAGACTTATGAACATAGAACTACATTCAACTTGCTTCAAATTGTCCAATTGTTTTTCAAAATCATCTACAAATTATCAGAAGTTCAAATCAGACTTTAGATTTGAGATTCGACCTTCAATGACATTTTCAAGGTAAAAATAGGTCAAAAGGTATTTTTGTAAATCTTTTGACGGCGGTTGGCGATCGGCGTCTATAACAAATTCTTATAATTTCCAATAGCTTAACAGATACTGTTTAGACTGACTTCATTTTTTCAAAATCATCTACAAGAAATCAGAAGTTCAAATCCGACTTTAGATTTGAGATTTGACCTTCAATGACCTTCTCAAGGTCAAAAAGGTCTTTTTTCAACTTGCTGCAAATTGGTCAATTATTTTTCAAAATCATCTACAAGTTTCAGAAGTTCAAATCTGACTTTAGATTTGAGATTTGACCTTCTTTGAAGTTCTCAGATATTCAAATCTGACTAAGATTGAACTCATTATATTGTGAGCAACAAGGCGGTGACATTTTGTCATGTCAATGCCTTGTTTTATATTTGTAGCCTCCAGCAAAAAACAGCAGCTTAAATAGCTCAAAATTGTTTTCTAAAAACTAGTTCAAGCTTTGTTTGATATTGTAATACAATTAAAATAACGATAATGTACTATTTACGATTTTTTATAGGACTAAATAGTACCATACCCCTGGGAAGTTATAATTTTGCAGCATGCAGTTAAAAACCCGTATCAATAGGAAGCAAATCAATGCATTTAAAATTTAATTGTTACTTGATAATGTTATTCATTTATTACTTGAATTCGGCTGTGAAAATTGTTTTTACCACTTTAAAGCCCATCACCTTATATTTTCTAACACCAACTAGGTTACTCCTAAATATTGCATTGCCAAAAGTTATTTCTTGCAACTTTCCGGCAGAAGTGTAGCAGGTAATGATACATAAAGGGATTTTACCTTTACCTAGACGTCAGTTAGTTGTTTATAAACAATCACTACTTGACTTGGTATTAAATATTCATAAACATTTGAGAATATCCTTGAGCTATTCTTTTGTCGTTGAAATATAGGGGAGGATTTAAATTATTTTGCAAAATCAGCAGTCGTTTATCTTAATCATCATCACTGTTCACTGTCGTATATTCTTTCTTACGTCGATGTCTATACCTGCAGTAAATCTTAACTATTATACATACTAAAATAATACAAAAAACCAATCCAAGTGGTGCCGCGATCCCTATTGTTTCAACGAGAGGGACGTCGGTTGGTGTTGCTGTTGAAATCGGATGAGGCTTCGGATTTGGAGCCAAAGTCGGATCTGAAATTAATGCATAAATGCTATAATCAGCATATGCCTTTGCGTACTCGAAGTTATAAATATAGTTCCCGTTTTCAGATTTCGGACATCTTCTTAGTTCGCATATAACATCATCAAGTTGTTTGCTGTTGTAGTAATTGATGACATTGTATCCCCTCTCACATGCATAGATCATACATTGTCTCAAATCCCGTGCCTCGTTAACTCTGAAAGAATCTCTACAAGCTGATATTTTACACTGTGGTCCTGCACTTATTTGTGTAAAAATCTCGTTTTCACAATTCGGTGTACCAGGATATGGAGCATTCCACCATTTAAATTCGTTCATCTCACTATCGCAAAAATTGTTTTCATAGTATTTCCACTTGGTACCTTCGCTATTACTTCTGCATTTAAATGCGATAAATTTGTTTTCTCTGGCTAAAAACTGAATGGAATTGAATCCCGCTTCGTGCAAAGAGTTGGGAATCACTTCGCTTTTAGTTTTGAAGGAGCTCTCCGCGTCATTACATTTTGGTGGTGTATGGTGAGACTTTATAGACAACGCAACTGATTGTTCCATGCTTAAATTATAGAAAGGCTTGGTGGTGTGACCAAGACTGAAAACGGTAGAACTATAAATATTGTTTTCAACTAGGTTTAAATCATAATCGTTTTCAGGTAAGCTCCATTTACAATGTGTCATTTCACAAGTGGTCGGCATATGTTCAGTTGCATCCACAAAGTTGAACACATTTGCTTTATGGTCGCAGGACTTTTCCATACATTCTTTTAAATTCTGAACGTTTACCATATCAATGCGATAGCAATTTGACTTCAAACCAACTCCAGTTCTCCAAGTTCGTCTTACGAAATATGAGTTATAACATTTAAACAATTTTGGACGTGGTCGGGCGTACGTAACTCCTGTAGAATCATTCATCACTGTATGCCGTACTTCCCAATTGTAGTCCCAGTCTGAGCCATCCGAGTTCGAGTTGCATCTATAAATTTCACACCTCGTTTGAGCAGCATTGTAAAAAATGACATTAGCACCATTGACGAGGCAGGATTGCTTAAGGCATTGCTGAAGTGAAGAAGATGCATCGAGGGACCGAAACCCAAGTGGCATTTCACAATTTGGAGCGCTCGTCTCAATGTCGATTAATGGATCAAATCTCCTCACCATCAGGAAATCCCCTACGTAGCAGTTGTAATTTACGGAATTATCTGAAAAACGGAACATTGAGGTATATACTAAATGACGTAATGGAATGTCTTATAATACACAAATTAATCGTGATCTAGCGTTATATTCGATATTTATTTCTCTTTTAATTGATAGAGTTACAACAATAGAAATTATCATGCATACATACAACGTATGTAAATTACAATATGAAAATAACACAATATTTACATAATCATTTAATACTATGAAAATGAAGTCCTAAGAGAGTATTAATTTACCCTTAGCCTTTTACCTAACTTTTTACATTCACCTGTACATCGTTTTTATCTTGGCTCACGCCCCTGATAACACTCTTACTCAATTGTGACTGCGATATCGTTTTCCCTTAGTCTTAAATGCTATATGACTTTGTAAAACATATTATTACCACCTTGCCGGGTCAGTTCTAGGGGTTTTAGTGCTAGTTTAGAAGGCATTCATTTTACTATATCGACCTGAGCAATATTTGTCGTCATAGTGGTGGTCAATACTGCCTGTCAAGAATGCAATTTTCCCCGGGAAATATGATATCGTTCAGTGCGTAAGATTTTCTTGCTGTTTCAGTCCTGGTTATTAACGGTGGTAATAATACTAATAACGTCATTTCTGTGGGCAATATATTGAATATATTTCACTATATTACCCGCAATATAATAGCGGGAACAAACTATAACGAAATATAGTCAAAATCATAAAACTTTCAAAACGTCACTAGAAAGTGTTCAAATTAAATATGTATATGGACTATTTTAGATATGAGTAATTGGCGAAGCAAGTTGTGATACTCGTTGATAGTCATTACTAAACAATTATTGACGATACATAAGAGACGCCCCTAGTATTCCTTTAGAATAAATTAAAAATACAATAATGCCATGGGTAATTTACAGTTACGTAGTGACGACCGGTGTTAACGTTAATATAGGCTGTGTTTCATATTGTCCGTTGGACTAAAAGTCCTGGAAAAGTCCGGGACTTTATTATCTAGAATAACAAGGCCGATTGACTATATTTCATTGGTTGTTTTAATCTGGGGTTATATTGTATACAGAATTTTCAATACAAAAAATATAGTGTCCAAGGTTATATTGTCCCACGAACCATTATCGCCATATATTCAAGAAGACTATTATTTACTCTGACGCACCGATCCATAGTTTAAATAGAGCTAATTTAATGGGAGTGATGAAATATGAATTTCATTCAGAGGGAAAATATGATATTGGCCAAGGAAAATATCATATTGACCGAGGGCGATTGTGCATGTTTCCGTGAGTCCCATGTCATTATCAATCTGCAAAAAGATCCCCTGTAGAAGAGTTCAGAAGCAGTCAATCTTCCTAGTATGTAACCATAACATAAATATCTTCAAAATATGTTGGGTTACAAGCTGGATTTTGTATAGTTTCAAAGATATTTGTGTTTGAATTTTTGGAAATCCCATTGACCGCCATTATAAACTACTATCAATATGGCTTTACTTAGTGTCCTTTTCTCAAGATGTTTGGTTTTTAAAAGGTCAATATATCAACTATAGAAATCTACAATATCAGAAAATTCCTAAGTGGACTTTTAGAGAATTTTTTTTCAAAATGTTTGGTTTTTAAAAGGTCAATATATCAACTATAGAAATCTACAATATCAGAAAATTCCTAAGTGGACTTTTAGAGAAAATGACACTTTAGTAAAGCCATGTTGACAGCGGTTTATAATGGCAGCCAATGGGAGTTTTCGTGTGCAATTTATAGGCTAGATGTATTAAAAATAAGAGTTTGTAACCCTTCTTATTTTAAAGGCATTTGAGGCATGGTTACATACTAGGAAGATTGACTCTATTGCTCTTGAACTGTTCTGCAGGGGTGCTTTTGAAAATTGATTAATTAACATGGGGCTCAACGGAAACATGCAAAATTTTCGAAGCCTGTCATTATCCACTGGGGCCACTGACACCACTTCGGTGGATATTAGAAATATATGTATCAATGATATTTTGGTAAAAAAAATGGTGCCTTATATATAGCAAGTGTAATTTAAGGGTTTCATTGTCATAATTGACAGCACTAATTGTCTCAAATGTCAAGACATGAATCTGGTCTTGCGCCATAACCATGATGCAACTACTTGCATGAATGTATTAAATATTTTCGGTTTTGTTGAAACAGATCTTAATGCTTTAATGTTTTAGCAATAATGTATTATTAAAATTATATTTCACCTACCCGAATTTCGGATTGTGTCCTCTTTCTCAGCATTTGAAAAAGTAAGGAGGCATGAAACTAATATTAGAGTCCAAATACGCATGGTCACAGTTTATAAAATTCCTTACGGACTTGAGCAAGAATGGTGTCGTTTGTTCGTTGCTTTTAAAACGTAAATAAAGTGCGTCTACTCTGCTGATATACACTGCCCTCCATAAGTTTGGAAACCTGAAGTTTTCATTGGATGGAGTATCAAGGCCTGTTATGTTTGAATCTTAATTTTGTTCCTAAATTAAATTTTTCGGAACATCAAAAGGGTGTCAAATGAGCTCAAAAGTAGGTCAATGTAACGTAGGGGGTAGACTTTTTGGTGTATTTTTTACTTTTTTTCAATAAAAAACCACATATAATATTTTGTTAGCCAGAAAAAGGTAATAAATGTGATAGATGTATATGTATATACGATCCACATTCTAAGCACAAAAACGTGGGTAAATAGCTTGGATCTTGAGATTTGAAGAAATGAAATATTAAAAATGGGAGAGGGGAGACAAAACATAGTCTAGGACCTAAACTAATAATTACATCGTAGCAAGTTGAGTTTTGGCGGAGAAGAACGTGTTTTAGTGCATTTCTGTCAGCGAACTCGCGACTGACCGTGTGTCAAAAATAAGCATATTTGACCCAAAATCTGACACCAGTCATTGGAAAATCATTTATTTACTCGAATTATTTGGATCAAAAAGCGAGTCGCGGACCGTTGTGCGCCGCATTGGATATATTGAAAACATTATATCTCATTCAATAGAAGTCTGGTTACCTTATAATATGGCTTGTTTGAAAGCGTATTTAGAAAACTATATTCAAAATAAACTAAGTAGAACCAGCTCATGTGATTTTCCACCAGCCTAATTTAGCTGCGATAGGCCCTAACCACCTCCATTGTTGCCCAAAACAAAAAAACAATTTTTTCTTGACGGGAAAGTACCGGGGAAAAATCTGCCCCCTATTCAAACTTATAGAGGCGAGTGTAAATAATATATGTTTGTATCCTTTTGAAACTCACGACGTCATTATGTTACTCCAATATTCAATATTTATTCACCCTTATCAGTTTTTATGTCATCGCCTTGTTTCGATGGGGTCAATATTGATAATTTTAAAATGTAACGCTCATGAATACAAACTTTAAGATTTCACTCAGGAAGTGATGTCATCAACTATAAAATTGTATAATCTTGTACTCACCTAGTAACTCTGACGATACGTCAGCGTAACAAGATGGAAGAACTTCCGGGTTTCGTTTTCGTTAAGATGTTTATTTCTCGATTTTACACCACTCATTGGGCAGGTTGTGGACAATATTTTGGCTCAAAGTTAAGGAAGATGGTCTAGTTCGAGAATATGCATGCTGTTCTATGTTTAGTGTATTAACGAAGACGCAATTCATATATTTATTCTCTCGCTTTTGTTACGTTGACGATTTTCATGAAAATTGCCAATGTGACGTTGACGAAGACACTTTGTTACACTGCAAATGAAAAATGTTGATCTTTGGAATGTCATGGGGTATCGAAAGCTCCAGATCTAGGTTTATAGATTTGTAGCATGTGTCCGGGGGCATATGTAAAGCTGAAGCTGAGACAATGAATCAAAATCTTAGTATTATTCTCATATACATTCTTATAATATGTGTATTCCATTCCATTCCAATATTAATACAAAACTAAGACATCCTATTCATAATGTAATTCATAAGAGGCTCAAATAACTGCGGATGATCTGATAGCGTTATTGGTAGACCTATTGCCTTTGCCTGAGGACCTCCTGTTATGCACGGGTTTGATGATTGGATCATGAGATTCAATCATCTTTTGATCCAATCACCATTTGAAACGCGGGGTTGTGGGAATGCGAAGATATTTACTTTATGGTCCAATCTCTTCCCTGTGAAAGAGTATTCACTGCGAGGCGTAACAAGTACCATCGAACACTACATTAACTAACGAGCCTTCAATTCTCAAATGGCCACCCTATGGGAAACACTGCCCAAAACTAGTTTATTTCAAAAGTAGAATCGACCCCTATTCAAATGGCTAGTGCGAAAAAGTCAGACCACTCTGGTGGAGAACTATGAATAATGGGCAATAGAGACAGAATTTCGAACAATCATCGTTCATCATCGCAAGCTATTCAGACCAGAGACAGACTTCACTGCATCAAAAGTGGTTCCAATACTATTTTCTAAATATTCTATTTTTATAAATAACATTTTATGTTATAAAATTGTAAACGGTTTAAGCATGATAATTCTGTAGTAAAATTATGTTTACACGCTCGGTTGATAAAGTTGGCAACACAAATGTTAAATTGATACTGTAGTATAGAATAGGTGGTTCAAAAAGTTTTGCAATTGATGCCATAACTTCAAGGAAAATAGGACTTTTACAATTAAACATGGTACACATATGTGTTATACATTTATACATTATTTGTTAAAATCTTGAGATATGGTTGCTATGGTAACCAGGGTGGTGGGTACCATGCTCAACCCGAAATTACGTTTTTCCAAATAGTTTTCCTGCTTGAATAAACTCTTTGTAAAGTGGCAATTAGCAGGTGTAAGTGTCTTTGGGTGGCTATTTTTCTTCAAATTCTTCAATTTTTCTAATTGTCTCTATGACATCACAATAGACAAGTGACACGATAAGTTCCTTTGTGATGTATACTGTCCAAAACCCAGTTGAAAAATTGAGATGGAAAAGGGAGGAAATTTTAAATTTTTTTCCAAAATTTTCAAAATGGC